TATGGTGATTTTAATTCCTTCCTTGTTCTCACAGCAGTGGGAGAATTAAAAGAATGAAAAGGCAATGTTTCCACATCCATTTCTGTGTGTGTCCTGAGGCTGAAGTTCTCTGTGCTCCTTCCCATCTTTTAAGGGGCCAGTGCTTAGGGGGCTACCCCGAATTCAACCCACTCAGGCCTTAGTATGAAAGGCCCATCCAAGAATCAATGCCATCCATGCACAGGAGAGTTGGAATCAACACTACTACAATTACATGGGCTCAGAGCAGGGGGATGTTGTTCTTCCACAAGAAAATAGGTACACTGCTTCACCAGAAGAAACATGACTGGATGCAGGATGGTCAGCAGAGCAGGTTGCCTCTGAGAGGGACTTTTCTGTGGTAAATATCACCTGGCTGTTTCCCCCACAGCCTGAATCTCAACCTCTTCCTTTGTCCTGGCCCCTCAGCCCGAACCCATACATATCCAGACATTCTAGAATCTCCCTTGCCTTTGAAAACCAATCTTGATGTTAGTGTTGTTCTAGCTATGACTCTCTTTTCCCTGGGGTGGGAGAGATGCTAACCGCTGGACAGGCAAGCAGGAGATGCCTAACCGGGGTTAAAATCTGTGGGCTGACTCCAGGGCTGCCCTTACTGTTAGGAGCAGTTTCCTGGGTGGAGGGAATGACTGTATGGTGTCACCAGGAGACCAGCCACTAGGCTTGGCAAGGATTTCTGTGTCCAGTCTTGACATGGAGCCCCACGTCTTCAAGTGGAGCCCAAAGCCAGAGGCAAAGAGCAGGGCGAGTGGCAGCCACGATGCCACTTCACAGCAGAAGTTTTGAACACTTGGGACCAGATTTTCAGGATTAAAATCTGAGTTATTTCTGTTGTGAGATGGCTGCTTCCCAGACAACTCAGTCTAAATTTCATACCAAGCGATGACTTGATTTTGGTTCAGAAAGGTTTCAGGGGTAAGTTTACAGTGCTATGTGAGGCCAACATTGGGAAAGAGACTTCCCTGCTGGCCCAGTGGTTAAGACTTCGTGATTCCAAAGCAGGGGGCGTGGGTTCAGTTCCTGATCAGGTAACTAAGATCCCACATGCTATGGGGTGAGGCCAAAAAGTAAAAAACAAACAAACAAGCAGCTGTTTCTTGCCCTTGAGTGGTGTGGCTTAAAGTCCTAACTGTTCCACCTGTGGATACTGAGTGCTGGGCACTATTCTAAGCCACCCAAGGGTGTTATGGCACTGAACCAGGTCAGACCCACTCTTGAGGCCTTGTAGCACACCTCTGACTTGTTTCTAAACATACTCATGATATGATACTCATGATACTCATCAATATATGATCATGAGTCCTGACCCAGGGAACAAACCCAGTTCTCCTGTATGGCAAGCAAATTCTTTACTATCTAAGCCAACAGGGAAGTCACAAGACACCTACCTCTGGGGAATGTGGGCTGTGCCTAAACTGTCATTAAACAAGGTAGCTTATTTTAAAACCCTCCATATTTTTAAAATCCTTTTTGAACAGGTATAACCATATCAGAGACCTACAGTTTAACTCTTCTGTTTACTATTTCCTGATGTTTTAAAAAAGGCTTAGCTTTCAGTTAAGAGTCCAGTGTTAGAGAAGGGAAGAAGTCACCCCTTTCTTCTCCATGTCTGGAGAAGGAAAACCCATGGAGAATAGCCACCATAGGGTGGAAATGGCTTATAAAAATGTAATGTACAACACTGGTTTTCCTTTTGGAAAGTGGCCAAGTTTTGTGCCCTGAATCCTCTCAGATGCACCAAATGAGCACAGAGAATCAGCAAACTAGGGAGTCTGCAGGTTCCCAGATGCTGCTCGTGGTGGAAGAGTGATTCTGTGGCTACTCTACCATCTGGCCCATCACACTCCTGTCAAATTGTGTTTTGCAGTGTCATCTGATGAAGCTATGCAGCATAACATGGCAAGCTGTGATAGAGTACATGGGGAAAATGAATGAGCATCCCAGGTGATTCACCAGCAGTCCTGCTTCCTCAAGGCTTTTTCTTCTTCTTTTTTTTTTTCTCCTCCTGCTGGTAGGAGAAAACTCAAGAAAAGAAGAGAAATTGCTGGATGTATCAGACCCAAAGCTATAAACAAAATAATGTGCAATGTTCAAAGAAATAATAACATAAGCTACATATGGTCTTGTTCATGGAAGCAATTTAACTGGAAAACAAGTTTTGCTTTAAACGACTCATATTTTTACTTAGCCGAATAAATATGTGTCATTTTCTACAGATACTAAGAATGGAATAAAAATTTCTTTCAGCAGTCCCTCATGTAGTTGGATAATCCAGAAAGAGATATTTTAGGCCGGTTGTCCTCCAAGTATGGTCCTAGGTGGGCAGCATCAGCATGGCCTGGGAACTAGTTAGAAATGCCTGTTCTCAGTCCTCACTCTGGGTCTACTGAGTCACAAACCCTGGAGGTGGAGCCCAGCATTTGAACAAACCCTCCAGCGATTCTGATGCAGACATACTACATGTAGAAAAAAAACTCCTTGAGGGAGAGAAAAGTGGGCTTTGAATACATTATCTACTGCTTTGTGTGAAGCTTAACTAGTATGAAGGCCCAATTTTAGAAATCCAAAGATAAGTTGAAATATTCAGAATGCTGTTTTAGATAAATAACTTAGGAGCATGCAGAATTTTACATAAAACAAGCCAAGTTAATCTAGATTTTAGCCAGAGGAATAAGGCTGCTACTAGATCCTGAAATAAAACTATCACATGCCGATTGTGGGTCTACCCTGGCAATCAGAGATACTGGAAGATGAGGGAATCAGTTTCCCCCTGTCCATATATCAAATGTCAAATATTCATATAGTAACAGCTGTGAGCTTTTTTCTCCCAACTTTGTTTTGAGATTTTTTTTTTTTTTAATGTGGACCATTTTTAAAGCCTTTATTGAGTGGGTTAACAAAATCGCTTCTGTTTTATGTTTTGTTTCTTTGGCTGTGAGGCATGTGGGATCTTAGCTCCCCAACCAGGTATCGAACCCACACTCCCTGCTTTGGAAGGTGAAGTGTTAACCACTGGACCACCAGGAAAGTCTCTTTCCCAATGTTGGCCTCACATAGCACTGTAAACTTACCCCTGAAACTAAAATACCTACAATGATGTCATTTTAATAACAAAAAACTAAGACATATATAAATGAGATGAGCTATTTTGTGTATTTGAATAGCAATTTAAAGTGCAATTACATTGAGATCAAGTCTTTGTTAAATTATTTTTGGTGCTATGGGGACCACAGACCAAATACTCAACATATTATGAATTTCTGTTTAGAAAAAGGAAAAAATCTTCTCTATCCCCAACAGTTTCTTTATCAGCCAGGCATTTGCCAAATGTCACTCCTTTGCAACTCGGAAGTCTGAAAATACATCTGTGTTGTTTTGAACTGTGCTCAGAAACTTAACAATAATACTTACCTTGTTTATCTGGGTTCATTTTAGGACTTTCCTGGAAAGACAGTTGGGAAGAAGGTCCTTGTAACTGGAAACAAACCAATATTTTAAGCAGGAGGTTTGGAAGTGGTTCAAGTGGGATAGGAAGCAAAAAGACAACTAAGCAAAGTCCTTTTACCTGTGCAGCAAAGACGACAAGGTGTTCAGAGAGACTGAAATCTCCTGGAGGATAAAAAATAGGAAAGCAGGGGATGGCTTTTACTATGGGTCCCATCTCTAGGGTGGAGAAGGCAAGGGCAGCCCACTCCAGTGTTCTTGCCTGGAGAATCCCAGGGACGGAGGAGCCTGGTAGGCTGCAGTCCATGGGGTCGCACAGAGTTGGACATGACTCAGCATCTTTACTTTTCACTTTTCACTTTCACGCATTGGAGAAGGAAATGGCAGCCCACTCCAGTGTTCTTGCCTGGAGAATCCCAGGGACGGGGGAGCCTGATGGGCTGCCGTGTACGGGGTCGCACAGAGTCGGACACGACTGAAGCGACTTAGCAGCAGCAGCAGCATCTCTAGGGATTTTGAACTGTATCTCAGAAACTGGAAACAGATCCTTAAACTAATACGGTGAATATTTGGAACTTTCTTTTTAAACTGAGATATAATTGACATACAACATTAATCCAAGGTATATAACATAATGATTTGATATATGTATATATTGCAAAATGATCACCACAATAGGATTAACATCATTATCATACTCAGTTATACATTTTTTTTTCTTGTGACGAGACCTTTTAAGATCTACTCTCTTAGCAACTTTCAAAACAATACAGTGTTGCTAGGTATAGTCATCATGCTGTAGGTGAATACTTAGAACTTTTGAGACATTATAATTTTAAGAGTGGACTAGATTCTCACTTCAAGAAAGTAGAAATTTACTTGAATTTTGAAGGAAAAAATTTGAAGTTCTCAATGCTTGAATTTCTAATAGCACTACATTAAATAATTCTACACATTAAATACCTGAAAAATACTATCTACTTGAACATATTATTGCATATATGTGTGCATTTATGTGTGTGTGTGTATATGGAGTATCAGTTTGCTTTCAACAAAAAGAATAAGTTATTTTATAATAAAACCTTAAGCAGTTTTAAGAGTAAGACATTTCTAAATATGAGCAGTTGAAAAATGTTTTAAAAAGTTATATGATAATTAGGCTTAGAGAGGACTTCTACTTCTGATGAGTGTATTAATTGAGGTACAAATTATTGGGCAGATAAGCAACACTTTACAAAGAGAGATACCAAAACAAAACTGATTTACATTATTTCTTTAAAAATACAATAGCAACAGTTATAATACCAGACTTGGCCCCAAACCAGGAAAGTTCCAAATAAAGTCAAGTAAGATTTGTTTTGAAAAGCTGTAGCAAGGGCCATCAGGTTAGAACGCTTCTTGGTGTTCTCCTGGGCCCATCCTGAAGTCCTCAGGTAGGTGCAGAAGGGTCCAGCCTGCCATCCTATCAACAATGCTCCTGGAAATACAGTGTATCTGCCTCTTTGCCAGGTCCTTACCTTCCTTAGTTTCCTTGGGGACTCAGTTTAGTCAAACATTCTGCAGTGATTACTCAGCAGGTTTGGAAGAAGGACGAGTTGAGTAGTTAACATTGCCAGACGTGGCATTCCTTGGAGAGTCAGTGTCCTGTTCTGACTGCCCAGCAATGACACAAGAAACTGACATTGAGGCTGCCCTGTTTTTAAGGGCTCACAGAAGTGCATTCATTAGTAATAAAGATGATGAATAATTTAAGGCTACTCCTACATCTCTGTTTCAAAGGGCTATTTCATATTGATTTCGTGTGTATGGGAGAGACAAGTAAAACTTCTGTGTGCTGTCCAGAGCAGGGGTTACCATGGAGATTAGGAGACAGTAAGAACGGCCCCACATCCTGGGTAACAGCCACCTTACTAACTATCCCAGGTAATAAGAGTGACCTAGGAATAGAGTCTAATTCATTTGATTATTAGTTCTTTTAGGAACACAGAGAGAGAGCTATAGATTTTTTAAGGCACCAAATATGACTTTAAAAGGATAATAATAATTTATGAATGCACATGTCCTCTTAAGTTTTAAGTATAATCTGAAAACACACGTTTTAAGTTCAAACTAAAAATGTATCTGTTGTAATCCTAATAAGGTTTTGTTTTTAAAAATGATGTCATATGAAGCCAAATGTATTAGAACTTTACCATTATTGTCACCAGGAGGCTGGAGGCCTGTCTTTCAGAAGGGGTGGAATGCAACGCATGGTACATTACTCTAAGAGCAGTGCCCGGAGAGCCAGAGCATCAGGGAATCCTCGCTCCCAGTGTCCCCGAGTCCAAGCTCTCTCTGCTCTGAGAGGTGAAGTGTTGAGGCAAGGAATATGACTTTATTCTCATTCTCAGCATGAATCTCTCAAAACAACCATCTTGAAGGGGTCTGGATACCAGTTTTACAGAACGGAGATGGGGGGAGGTGAGGAAACAAAGTGAAAAGGCTATTACTCTTGCAAATATCTCCTAGAATGATAAGCCTCCAGGAGGGGATGCGCTAATTTCTTCCTTCCTGTAGCTATCCACAGGTGAATGTGGTCCTGAACAAAGGCACTTTGGATTAATTTTCAGGCAAAGGGGTAGGGTTCCCTGGGGCAGGAGATTATGTATAAATGGTACCCTTTTAGTGAACAAAAGCAACAGGAAGCAAAGGCTAAAGTAACAGATCCAAGATAGAGTCAGCATTGGCTCTTCCCTGTAACACAATTGATGCTCCTAAAACAATTATTATAACGAAGGCGGAAACAGAACAGGCTCTATCTTGAAAGCAGAACTCCATCTTGGGCCGGATTGTGAGCTCTATGCCCAGTATCTATGGAAACGACATACCAACTGGAAAACCAGACCTCCGAAAGGAAGAGCCCCAGGGCTCTCCATACCCTAAAAGAATACCCGAGTTATCTGTGTAACTGAATAGAATAATACATTCCATTATGCTTATTGGGGTATGACCACAAGCCTATTGATAATTGTCCACTGTTAACCACCTAGGCTTAAGGCATATGAATCACGGGTTAACTTTGATTGTCTTTCTTTTTCCTTTGTCCAGACTAGTTTCAGGGAATTTGGGGAGGTGGGTTTGGGCACATATGCTTAGGGTATATAAGGTTTTCACAAAAACTGGTCGGGGATCCTTGGCTAAGAGGAGACTCTGCCACGGACCTGCAGGTGTAATAAACTGCACTTCACTATCTGCATTGTCCTTCTGAGTGAGTTTGTTTCCTAGAACATGTGGCTACAACAATAAGTGGTCACCAATACACTTCAGAAAACACCATGAGAAAAATCAGTATCAATTCTAACAAAAGCCCATTTATTCCTTTCTTCTCAAAAAGTATTAGTATGGCACTACTGGTTTTGTAAAACCAGAAATTTGGGACATTTAAACAATGAAAATTGATTAGTAATGGGGTGAGACTGGGATAAAGTAGAGAGAGGAAAGTGTATAACTTGTTTTTCTCTATACAAATTTTGTTGATTTTTCTGGGAGCAGATAAGACAGTTTAGGACCAGAGAAAATCTGCCTCACTGGAAATCTGTTTGAGTGATATAGACTTAAATTTGAGAACAGATTTTAAAGTTTTTAAATTTCACTATATGTGCAAAAAGACAGCATAATACTTGAGGTCCTGGCTAAAGAGGAAGGTTGAAATGTTTTCCTGAATGCTGCCATGTTGAGATTTGAGCCAATCTCCGGCACTGATTGATTGTATGGATCAAAAATCTTGCCCCCCACCCACAAAAGAAGGTTGTCTGATAGTCTGAAGTTCCAAATGATATAATTGAATAGACAAATGTTTAAGTACATGAGAATGAACTAGGGGATGTTGGAAAGTAATTTAAGCAGGAACTGGTAGTCCTGAGCCTGGATGGTTTTGGATAGCTGAGATGAAAGGTCCGAGGACAGTTTTAGTTTCACTTACTTCTGTTAACTGGGAGTTTTTAATTACTGTTGCGCCTCCTGGTTCAAGTTCACATAGACTTAGTCACATTTTTTCTCTTTCATAGTTTGTTTGGGTTATAAGTCAAAACAAGTTATTATATTTTTTCAACATTATAGATAACTGACAAGCTGTCATTTTTTTTTACTAGTATGGCAGTGTGTGTGTATGCTAAGTTGCTTCAGTCATGTCCGGCTCTTTGTGACCCCATGGACTGTAGCCTGTTAGGATCCTCTGTCCATCGGATTCTCCAGGCAACATTACTGGAGTGGGTTGCCTTGCCCTCCTCCAGGGAATCTTTCTAATCCAAGGATCGAACCTGCATCTCTAACATCTCCTGCATTGGCAGGCAGGTTCTTTACTGTGATTGCCATCTGGGAAGCCCACTATGGCAGTAGTGACTGTAAATCACAAGTCTGTAATTCACAATGTCTTTACCTTCTGAGACAAAGCAGCTCCACCCTGAGGAAGCAGGTGAGAAGAGGGTTCCATCTGCCTGTACCATCACAACTTGCCCTGATTTGGACAGACTCCATACCAATCAGAAATTGGTGACTGCTCCTTATTGTGATGAAAACTATTTTTTGAAGCAGCCAGTATTCTGTTTGATATCTGATAGCTCTTTATACATATATCTGAAGACTCTAACTCCCAAGAGACAAGGAAGATCCTTGACACATCACACACTAAAATGTGTAGGTAGACCCTTAACATAAATTATAGGATAATTTTACATACATATTTACATACATGATGAACTCTTTTAATAAAGTCACCAAAGTTGACTCAAGAAAAAGTAGAGACAAGAGAACCGTTGTGCATTGTTGGTGGAAATATAAATTTGTACTGCCATTGTGGAAAACAATATGTCTAAAAATAGAACTACCTTGTTATCCAGCCATCCTACTTCTGGTATACATCCAAAGGAGATAAAAATCAATATCTTAAAGAGATATCTGAGCTTCCATGTAAATTGTAGCATTATTCACAGTAGGCAAGATACAGAAACAATAATGTTCAACCATGGATGAATAGATAAAGAAAATGGGATGTGTATATATGCAATGGAATATTATTTAGCCTTAAGAAAGAAGGAAATCCTGCTATTTGTGAAAATATGAATGAACCTGGAGGATATTATGTGAATTTGAAATGACAGACACAGAAAGACAAATGTCACATGATCTCACCTGTGGAATTTAAAAAGAAAAAAGTCAACCTCATTGTAACAGAAAGTAGAGTGGTGGTTACAGGGCTGGGGGCTGACGGGAGGGTTGGGAGGACATGTGCAGCGAAAGGGGGATATTGATCTAAGGGTACAAACTCATTCTTCAGGCTTCCCTGAGGTCTTCCATGCTGTGCTTAGTCACTCAGTCATATCTGACTCTTTGTGACTCCATGGACCTGCAGCCCGCCAGGCCCCTCTGTCCACGGGGATTCTCCAGGCAAGAATATTGGAGTGGGTTACCATGCCCTCCTCCAGGGGATCTTCCCAACCAAGGGATTGAATCCAAGTCTCCCACAATGCAGGCGGATTCTTTACCAACTGATCCATGCTGGAGTGGGTAGCCTACACCTTCTCCAGTGGAGATCTTCCCGAGCCAGGAATTGAACTGCGTCTCCTGCATTGCAGGTGGATTCCTTACCAGTGGAGCTACCAGGGAAGCCCTGAGGTCTTCCAGGAACACCTGATCTGAAGTAGCTTCAACACATAACTCCATTTTATTCATAACTATTAGCACAACCTGTGGTCATCTTGATTCTTTATTTGTTAACTTACTATTGGCTTCTACCAGAAAACAAACTCTTCAGAGGCAGGAATGAGAGATCTTTCGTTTCTCTCTGTGTGATGCTGTAATTCATGAGAAATGTGCACATTTGGGTTTTGTCCCTTTGTTCCTTTCCTGGCACACTCAGCGCTCAGTCACTTAGTTGCATCAGACTCTCTGTGACACTGTGGACTGCAGCCTGCCTTGACAGTTCCTCTTCTAGGTGATCTTCTGGCAGTGAGCTCCCTGAACTCCTGGAATTTCCTAAGGGATGAGAATATGGAACTGTCTTTGGTTATGTTAATGAGGTGACTTTCCAAAGCACTTAAGGATAGGGGACTGGTTGCCAGAGAAACCAACCTCCCTTTTAGCAGGTTGGAACTTTGAGTCTTATTCCGTTGACTTCAAGGGAGAGGAGAGGGGCTGGAGGCTGAATCAATTACCAGCAGCCTATAAGGAGGGAAAACCACTAGGCCATTCAAATCCTAAATGATTATACCTAATATAATCATGATTAAACCTAAATCAAATCCCGTATGATTATACAGTGGAAGTGACAAATAGATCCAAAGGATTAGATCTGATAGAGTGCCTGAAGGACCGTGGATGGAGATTCACAACATTGTATAAGAGGCGGTGATCAAAACCTTCTCCAAGAAAAGAAATGCAAAAAGCTTCACAAATAGCTGAGAAAAGAAGAGAAGTTAAAGGCAAAGGAAAAAGGAAAGATACACCCACCTGGATGCAGTTTCAAAGAATAGCAAGGAGAAATAAGAAAGCCTCCCTTAGTGAACAAGGCAAAGAAAGAGAGGAAAACAATAGACCAGGAAAGACGGTGGCTCAGACGGTGAAGAATCCACCTGCAATGAGGGAGACCTGGGTTGGGAAGATCCCCTGGAGGAGGATATGGCAATCCACCCCAGTATTCTTGCCTGGAGAATCTCCATGGACAGAGGAGCCTGGTGGGCTATGGGTAAGGAAAATGGGCTAAGGGGTAGCAAAGAGTCAGACACTCTAAGCGACTAAGCACAGCATGCAGCACAGAAAGCTCTTCAAGAAAGTCAGAGATAACAAGGCAACATTTCACACCAAGATGGGCACAATGAGGGACAGAAATGGTGTGGACCTAACAGAAGATATTAAGAACAGGTGGCAAAAATACACAGANT